CGATCCCGTGGCCGGTCCCGGTCCAGTACGGGCGCGACACTGAGGGTTGTGATCCGTTGCCGGTCACGAAAAAAGACAAAAAGACAAAAAATAAAAATAAAAAATAAAAATAAATAAAAAATTTAAAACCAGACAATCTAATTGCATGACTATGTCACTGTAACTCACTGAGTAGTGGCTGTTTCCTCTGGATAACGTGTGAGATGTTCATTATGAAATAATTCCTACCTAGCCCCTTTCATTGATTTGCAGTGTTTGGAGAATAGGCATTTCAGTATTTGACTACTGCAAACTAAAGAGTTCATCAGAAATGGGTCTTAAGTTAGAAAAAGCCTCCTCCTTTGATTTTCTGGGGCCACCAGAATTCAGAGTTGAAGTAAATAATGCATGTATGCGATCTTGTGGAGAGCTTCTGGCTAGGCCAGTTGGGAAGAAGAGAGATTTTATACAGATTGCCAAGTGCTATCTTCCCAACCACTCCACAACACATACACATACATACACACACACACACACACACACACACAGCAAAATTGCAGCGAGATTTTATACAGATTGCCAAGTGCTATCTTCCCAACCACTCCACAACACATACACATACACACACACACACACACACACACACACACACACACACACAGCAAAATTGCAGTGCTGTTTCTGTAAGTTAATAAAAACTAAATATTCAATATATGCCAGAAACTTCTACAGCTACATAAATATCAGTATAATATTACAATCTAACCTCTAAATTTACAAAGCCAAGTCTCTAAATGATGGTTTTCAAAAAACAATAATCAGGACTTACAGCAGTGTCTACAAGTGACTTGTCAATCTAATTTCATGAGGAATTACAGCATTGGTTCCCAAACTTTGCTACACAATGGAATCACCTGGGATTTTCCAAAAAATACTAATACTTGGCTCCTACCCCTAGACATTCTGATTTATTTAATATGGGTGTGACCCAAACACTAAGATTTTTAAAAGCTCTCCAGGTGATGCTAAGGTGTAGCAAGTTTGGAAGCCACTAAATTACTATAAAAAGTACTCCAGTTTTATAATGTTCTACATAGACATAAAAATTTCTTACCAGCACAAAGTGTAGAGAGTTCTCAAAGCTTATACTACAAATAATCAAAAAGTGAAACTCAGATAGGAAAGGAGATAAATCAGGTTGTGCTATATATCTGGTATGTAATGAAACAAGCAACATATTTTAAATTCATTTTTGTGATCTGAACTGTTGGTATGCAATAGGATGATCAAAAATCACCTTCAACAGACACTAGAATAAAAGGTTTTCAAATTTTTCATTAATGGTTAGAACTTGGAGAAATATATGGCAAATACTGTCTGTACCGGTACAAATATTTACTCTAAGGTATTATACTCATGTTTACAATATCATGAGGTAAGTGGCAGCATCAAGAAAATCCTTTCTTAAATAAAAATATTTCTCAGATAATTAGATATCATGCGATAAGCATCTAAGTGACAGAGACTCTTCTGGACACTAAGATTGTGGCACTGAACAAATGAAAAGAGCAAAACAAACAAAAATTTACACCCTCACAGAGCTTTTATATCTCTAGAATGGGAGGAGGGACACAAACAAATTAAAGAGTAAACTGAAAAGAAGAGCCAGGGAGTGGGAGGGCTGTGAGAGAGGAGGAAGTGATTTGCAATTTTAAATAGAGAAGCCTAGAAAAGAAACATGTCAGCTAAGACTTGAAAGTGGTGTTACATGACATAAATAACTAATATATATTAAAGGCAATGAAATACATTGATAAAGAATAATTCTGGCATCAGCAAAATGATAAATCCGAAGAGTAACATACCTCCATGTGGGATCTTAGGGTTCTCAGGGAGTCTTCCTGGATCGGTTATTGAGACCCTCACCAAGGCAACCAGACAGAATATGGAAATGCCATAGAATACTTTAAAATAAATAAATTAAATAAACAAATTAGTCACTTAACCCTTCAAAACATTTGATCAACAAGCATATGTTTAAAATGCATATTTTATTTAACACCATTATGATAATTTTCAAAAGATAAGACGGAAAAATTAAATGACTATTTCACTCACCAAACAATACTGCCAAGAGGATTATCTTAAATATACTAATTTTATTTTGCATGATAACAACTAAAAACTTGTTACAAATGAGATTGTTTATTAACAGTAATTCCCTATCAATAATGTTATAAATGAAAGGGCTCGTTTTTAATTACTACCTGTATTATATTTGAAGGATCAAAACGGCATTTTAAAAAATATTCTACAATTAAATTTTTTCATTAACTCTAACTAGCTACCTTCAAAATTACTCTGAATTAGTGATGTTCAATTGCTCATTTTGATCAACCTTAAGATACTTAATTTGAGAACAAAGAATGAGAAAATTTTGCATTTTAAAATTAGTAACCAGAAAAAAATAACAGTAAAGGAAAATAGGCTAAGTAACCATAATTCTATATTTTAAATTAATAAGAATATAGGCATTTTGCCGGGGGTAATAAAAAACAACACTCTGTACATGAAAAAGTAAACAGTTTGAGCGCTGACTCCAGGACTGACTGCATAGTATTGATATCATTTGCATAACAGATTATATTTCTCATAGCTCTTGTGAGGTCAAATGAGTTAATACACATGAAAATTGTAAATGTCATGTACCTGTAAAATATATCATTTCTATCTGATTCTTTTAATCATAAGTAAGCCATCACCAATAGGCTATAGTAGAAAATAATTATCTAGAAGTTCAAAGTGTTATCATACTCAACTTCATAATCAATAATTTTAGCATCATGAAATTCTCATTTCCTAGTAATGTATACCATCTCTGTTCTTAAAACTTCCACCTTTGCAATTAAGTACAAAATAGAAACATTAAGTATACACACAGACATGCGAATTATCACTACCATGTAAGTTTTTTAACAAGATGGTCTTTATACATTTTGCAAAGTTAAATAAATATGGAGATATTACTTTTATCTAACTGCAAATATATATATATATATAAAGGGCATTCTTTTTAAAAACTTCCATAATTTAGTAAATAATAGCACTACTAAAATATTAAAAATATTTAAAGAAAGGTTATCATGGTGGCACTATCCTCCAAAAACATTTACAACGAGAAAAACCTTTAATTATACAAAAAAACAAAGATTTAGAAACTTACTTATTATTAATATGCCTGGAATATGTCCTTCTTCATAGTGAGGAAAGAGGACAATTTTGGGAATTATAACAATATTGTATAACCAGACAAAGACAATCAAACCCATGCAGCACCAACCATGTGGGTCAACAACAAAATGAATCCGCAGACCCATTTTGCAATCCTATAACTGCCTGCCAACCACAAAAAAAAGATGATCCTAAGGAAAAGGAAAAAAGAATAAAATTACTTACATAGGAAAAATTATTTAACTAAAACAAAACTGCATTTCTAGCAACTATAAAATGACATATATTGAGTTTTCTTTTTATATTTGATTTTTTTTCCATAATAAACATTTTAGAAAATAAAGAGAAATTTCAGGATATTCAAATTTCATCATAAGCTTCAAATAATTTCATTTTAATTGCTCATTATGAATTGCTATCAAGGGTATGTACATTGGCATTATCTACTGAAGTTAAAACACAAAGTTTTCCCTTAACTCAATGTGTAAACCCAAGAGCAATGAATGCATATGTCCAACAAAAGATGTGTACAAAAGTTTTTAGTAGCTGTAATTGTAAGAATAACTGATGGTCACACAAGTCAAAAGAGTGGTTATCTTGTGGTGGGAGGGGTATGTATAATCTCCAACATGAGAAGAACCTCTGAGGGGACAGAAATATTCTATATCTTGACTGGGGTGGTACTTCATGGGTATATACATATGTAAACACCCACTGAGCTGTACACTTAAGAGTTGTGTACTTTAGTCTAACAATAAAATATTTTTTAAATTATTTTGAAAAATTACAAATTGCTAAAAATATTAAAATTCATGGAATGACGCCCGAGTAATCTCATTACTATCAATTCAAGAAGACTTGTTTAAATGGGGCCTTTTTTCAGTTGAGTGTCAACAATCCACCAATAGATAACCTAATGAGATATTTAAAGAATTAAGATACTCCTATACGTATAATACTGAAAAAGTGGCTTAAAATATATCCATACTTCAGTAGATATAAAGCTTAAATAATAAATTACTATACAACATCTAGGGAGTACCTTTTACATAAAATATAATGGTGTAATTATAAATTGGGACAATGGTTCTCAAACTTGTAAGCAAACCAGAATCAACTGGGGCACTTTTAAAAATACATATTCTCAAACCCCATTCCAGATCTATTGAATCATAAAGCTCAAAAACCCAGAAAATGTTTTAAAATGCTCTCCAGGTATCTGATACAGCTGACTGGTATCTAGGAACCACTGACACATGGAACTTCACTAAGACTTCAATGTTACCACAATGAGTTGAACTTAGTTCAACAAATATTAATTGAGCCTCTACTAAATACCAATCACTTGCTACACTCTGTAGATACAATGAAGAAGACATGGTCTTTGCTTAAAGGAACTAACAGTCTAGTGGGAAAAAGAGTCATAAAAAAGGTTTAATATAATATGGTAAGTTCCACATTTGTGGTCAAGATGTAAGGACACAGAAGATGAGAACTATTAAATCAGGGTTCAAAAGCACAACTTCCTGTAAGAGGTGAAACCTAAGTTCAGTCTTAAAAGATGAGTAAATGCAAACAAAGAAAAGTGGCAATGATACTGCAAACAGAAGGAAGAGTAGGTGGTGTACAGAGCAAAAATTGTGGGAAGTATTACAGACCGCCATCACAAATTATAAAGTCTCCTGTGGAGAGTCAGTGGTGAGAAATACGAGGCTATATCATGAAGGACATAAAGATGCCATGTTAGAATACTAAGATTTCATTCCTAAGCATTGGAAAGCTATTGAAGAAGGGGGTTAAAATGGTAGATTCATACTTTTATTGAAGCTCTGGAGTGGAGGATAAAATTAAAGACAAATCAGTTAGACTAAGAGAAAACAAAAGCCAAAATTACTTTTGAAGAAGGAACTAATTGAAGAAACACAATCAAATGAGTGAGTCTTACTGATGGATTAGATATTAGAAGTTACAGAGGAAGGAATCAAGAATAACTCCAGATTTTCAGCTTATATCCCAGACTACTTCATTCTAAGAATAATTTATCATCAATTTGAAGAGCCTCGCTGTGCCATCCCCTAGAGGCCTTGCCAATGATCTTCAAAGCTATAAAGCTACCAAAACAAAGAGAAAAAAAGATTAAAGAATGCTTAATTTTAAAGGAATAGCCCCATCCTCTTGTCCCTAGAACCTGCAAATACTGCAGCAACAGCAAAAAAGACAAGAACTCAAATGCAATACTACCCAAATGGTTTACATCAGAAATGGTCCAAGTTAGTACTTTTGCACAAATTCTAAGATAGGAATAGTTCCCAGGCCTTTAAAATAAGTAAAATTAGAAAATGAAGAGATCAATCAATATTATTAAAGTGAGGAAAGTCAGAGAGGATAAAGCATGCTATTTAATTTGGTAAGTATCATTATTTTTAACACTAAAGAAGCTCAAATACAAATGGTAAGCAATCTACACAGCTAAAAAGAGAAAGAGTCAAAGGAATGTTAATTTTTTACAGTCTTGCCAACCACCAAGTGCTAAAAGAAAGGACAGAAGACTCTGTCTCTCAACGTGTCAATATTATTAAATTCATGTACCTTTCTTTTTTCTAATGTTTCAGTTCTATTCAGTGCTAAAAAACAGAATATGAACTCCAATAATTATATAGTACAGAGTAATTTCACTACTTATTTCTAAATTTATTAACTTAGAACAGCACACAAGCCAGCAAAACAAGTGGCAAAATTATGAAATACTCATTCATTTTTCAACTCTATTTTTACTCTCCTCTACCAGAGAGTAAAAAATTTTTCTTATCACTAGAAGAGATCCCTCAAAACAGAAAATACTACATCGTGAAAAGTATAGTTTAAAAATGTATACATTTTTCCTGGATGTAAACATATATAGATGACAAGCTCTAAAAGAACAAGCAACCCCAAGGAAAAGTGAGCACAGGATAAAAAAATAAAACAATAAACAAATAAGATGTTGAATACTTTTTAAAAATACCTGATTAGTAAAAATTAGTGCCACATAATCCTTGGAAGCAAACAGTGAAGTCTTCCAAGAGCTCCAAATCAGATGACAATCACAAACGCGTAACTGGCAGAGTTGCAGGATCATGTCACTCAGTTACTACCTACCAGGAGGTGTGGCTTACGGCTGAACAGAAACTATTACACATCCTGAGCAACAGAACTGAACCCAATGCTGCTACCTGGTCTTAAGGACGGCATTTGTAAAATACTTTCATTAGCTAAAGATTCCAACATACTAATTTGTATATTAAATGGTGAGCTCATAACTCAAACTTTGATGTAACTAGTAGATATACTGGTACTTCAACATTTTTTAAGATTGCTATCTGATGACTATACTTGAGTGCAGTGACTAACATCATAATGATGTAAATTACTACAGCACAAACTTTTAAAAAAGAAACTGTAATTCAACTCTAGTAAACGAGGCTGAGTAAATATTTACACTGTTCTAATTATTCTGATGGGATGCCACGTTTCCTTTTTTGCCTTTCCATGCAACTGTATTTCATCACATATTTTCCTCAGGAAGAATATTCAAGTTATTATGAAAAGAAAATGACAGAAAAATACTATATGACAGAAAACTATAACATCAGAATGTAGATTTTGGAAAATCATAAAGATTAGCCAAAATAATTAACAAAAATCTAGCCAAATGTCTATCTCTAAACTTAGTTTCATATGACTCTCTACCTCAGCCAAAGTAACCTTTCTACTGTTCCTTGAATATGAAAAATATATTCCATCACTCATTCCTTCTGTCTGAAATGCCCCTCTGCTTCTGCTTACTCTATTTTAAATTCAGTTCATACTTCAAGGCCAGTTTGAAACTCATTCTCCATATGAATTTTTCCCTGGCACCTCAGTTCACATTGATTTCTCTTTTTCTTCTAAATTTCAATAAAAAGCAAAACTATTAAAACAGAAAAGCAAGCGGCTTTATAATCTTAGAATAAGGAAAGCTGTCACAACCAAGAGCCATAAGCCATGTTTGACCACATAAAAATTAAAATATCTGAAGCCCAAAGCACACCAAAAGCAAAGTCAAAAGATGAAGCATCACTGGAAAAAAATATTATGACACATGACTAATAAGAGATATACCAAGTAAATATATAAAGAGGCAATTCACAGAAAGAAAAAAAAAGATTGATCTTTTAGAAAGACAGATGACATCCAATGTTGAGAGGGTATAAGGAAAAGGACACTATCATACATTTCTGGCGTGCATGTAAACTGATACAATCATTTTGAGAGGGCAATTTGGCAGTATCTATCAAAATGTAAAACTCTTTACCCAGCAGTTTTATTTTTAGTAATATCTACAAAAATACTCATGAGAGTATACAAGTATATATATACATGCATACAAGGAGGCACAAGGATGCAGTACTTTTGGTAATCACAAAAATATAACACAATCTGAATGTTCATGTACAGAAAGTGGAATGATCAAATATGAGTAAATTATAATACATCCATAGTGTAGACTATTTCCAAGCTATTGCAATTTTTTTAAAAAGGAAAAAACAAAAAAAGCAGATATAGATCTGCATATGACTGCCCACAACAAACTGGTAATTAAATAAAGCAAGTTACATAGGCAAAATCTTTGGTGGGGAGGGGGAGATCTTAACAGTGGTTTTTCTGGAGGGATAGGGAAATAAAGACAGACTACAAAAGGGCATAAGGAAACTTCCTGTGGTGCTAATAAAGATCTATATCTTGATATGGAGTTTGAGTTATACGAGGGCATGAATTTGTCAAAACTCAGCAAATGAACACTTAAGATTGGTACATTTCATGGTATGTAAATTTACCTTAAAAAAATAAACCGTAAAACAATATTCAACTTTAGTTAATGATATGTACACTGAAGTATGTAGAGAAAGTCTGCAATTTACCTTGAAATGGATCCAAAAATAATAATAAAGTGGACTTATGGATAGACAGAGACATCCATGAATATGTAATGAAGTTCAGTGAAACATCAGTTATAGAATCTAAGTGATGGGCATTCAAATGTTACACTGTAAAATTCTTTCAATGCTTCTGTTTGAAATTTTTCAAAATGAAATGTTGGGGTGGGAAGCAAGTTATAGAATAATTTGTAGAACATTTTTTATTAGAAAAAAATATATTTATAAGCAATTTCTGCATATATATAAAAAAAAGACTGGAGAGTCTGGAAGAAAACATACCAACCAAACTATTAACAGTGGTTATCACCGGGCTGAGGGAGGAAAGAATAGTAAGAACATTTTTTATTAGAAAAAAATATATTTATAAGCAATTTCTGCATATATATAAAAAAAAAGACTGGAGAGTCTGGAAGAAAACATACCAACCAAACTATTAACAGTGGTTATCACCGGGCTGAGGGAGGAAAGAATAGTAAGGAGAAAGACTCTCACAATTTATGTACGTATTTATGTATTCTTCTAAGTATAACAATAAACTTGTATACTTCTAAAATCTTTTCACCATGAATGTGCATAATCAAAAAAAATCTACCATGGAAAAAACAAAAAAAATAAAATCTTTTCAACCAACTGAAAAGCAGAGATAGCCGAGGGACACAAACAACCTTACAAACAAAATGTTTAATTCAAGCTTATCTTTATCACCATACATTATCCTTAAATTAAATGCTTTTAATATTAGTATTTTATAAACTGCAATGCAGAAGCATCAACTGTAAAGACAAATAAGATTTACAATTCAGAAAGATGTTTCTGAAACTCATTTTATTTACAGATTTCTTTTCTCTATGGAAAAAGTCTTACATAAGAAAATATGTTTAGTTAAAATTTAATATGAAAATTTTTAAATGAACATAAACTAGTATTTGCAAGTGAACAATTAAGTGCATCTAAACATAAGACTCCAGGGATACTATGCCACATAATTCAGAAACATATTCCCATGTAAAATCAAATGGAAACTTACCACTTGCAAATTCACTGAGATGTGTTGTAATTTTTCTGGTACTTGCATTTAGAGGTTTTCTCTTGATTCATTCTTTATTTATTATTATTACATCCCACCAAATGGATCTCTCTTCAATAGCAGTTCTCCATGAGAACCTAATAATGGTTTAACAAATAATGATCTCTCACAAAGATAAAAATTGTAAGCAGCTAAATATTCTCTGAAAATGCCAGTTACAAATGTTTTAAAATCAGAAATAAGAAAAGATGATTCAACTCCACCTAATTCTGAGCTTTCATATCCCATCCGTCCCCCCAGAATGTGCATATGATTACCATTATACATGAAAGTTTTCTCTTTTGAAACCACCCAATTTCCATAAAATCAAATAAGCATTATGTGTCCGGCATTCGGGCTTCATCAAACTTCCTTGACCACAAATCACAAAATAACAATAAGATTCTGAGATCATTAATGTCACAGAATGCAGTGTAATATCTATCAAGATGTGAGTCTAAAAGTATCTAATCACAATTAGTAAACGGATAATAAAGTGTTTTAAAAAGAAGTTTTAGTTTAAAATGTTTTAAGAAAAAAAAGTTATTCATCTTCCTATAATGAAACCAATAAGAGAATCAACCAAAAAAGTGAGTTTCTACAGTTCAAGCTTAAAAAAATAATAATACTATAAAGAGTTGTACATAACATATACCTAGTCACTATTTTATTAATTCAATCAACATTTATTAACTACACACTATCCTTTGGCACTGGCTATAGATGAAAAAGAGCCTCGATGGAGACGGACTACATCAGTACTACGTAAGACAAGCTAAGATAAAGGGACAAGGAGGCAAGAATGCACCTCACATAGTAAGGGTATCAGTTCATAGAACTTTTTTCAAGTATTCAAATATTTATATGTGTATGGAGTTGCATTACAAAATATATTTCTTACGGTAAGTTACCATCAGGAAAAGATTCCCAGACACTGTAAAGCCTGTGAATTAGCGAGATGAAGAATGGGGGCTCTTCAGACCAAGGAAGCAGAATAAACAAAGGTATAAAACAGGCCGAGAAAAACCTAAGTAAACTGAAATGACTAGAATAACTGTGTATGGAAGAATGAGGTAAGACATGCCAACCTTTTGACCACAACCAACTCTAAGAAATCAACTTTACAACATTACTAGTACACACAGAAATATATGAAAAACCAAAAACGTTTAGTGAAATGTTTACCCTTACCACATATGACTCACTCTAATATTGCTATTCTATTTTATTCTATTTCACTTTAATGAAAATACATAATGCTGATCACAACCTACTAAACTGATTTCATGACCCACAGTAGACAGCAGTTTGAAAAACACTGTTAAACCGTGCCAATGAGTTTGGATTTCACCCTGAACACATTAAAAAATCACTGAAGCATTGTAGGCACCAAAATACCACGATCAAAATTGCATGTTGACAAGAATAGCAACACTTTGAGAAGGCTGAGTTTGGTTGGAAGCACTGAAACCGACCACATGTAACAAGCTAGGGTTACTGTTACCCAGGCGAGAAATGATGCAGACACATGGGAAGCACCCCCAAAATGGTAACTTATTTATAAGGGGATTGAGTGTGGGTGTGTGTGTGTGTGTGAGAAAAAGTGACACTTAAGAGAGGAGGCATGCTGGAAAAGGGCAAATCCAGAACTTACTAGATAGGACTTAGTGATCAACTGGAAGCAAAGGACAGATTCTGAGATGGCTCTTAAGTATCTGGCTAAGTGACTAAGTGAAGTATGGTATAGTTCTCCAAGACAGGAAATAAAGGACAAGTTAAGAGTTTGTTAAGCATACTGCTTAGCACAGCCACAGCAGGCTATCACGTACTGAGGATGTGAAAAATACATCAAAGTCACTAGCATTATAAATTTAGTGGGGGAGGCTCTTAAGTATCTGGCTAAGTGACTAAGTGAAGTATGGTATAGTTCTCCAAGACAGGAAAGAAAGGACAAGTTAAGAGTTTGTTAAGCATGCTGCTTAGCACAGCCACAGCAGGCTATCACATACTGAGGATGTGAAAAATACATCAAAGTCACTAGCATTATAAATTTAGTGGGGGAAAAACCCTCTATTTTCTTCCATGGCTAATTTTTCTAAGGTCCATGACTCTTAGATTGTCAAAAATAATTGGTTTCTACCCTAACTTTTTAAATTAATTTAAAGTAGTCTCCTTGGCTGCACCTTTGCTTCTCAGAGGCAAATATAAAATGACAAAGTTAAGGAACTGCTACTCCAATGGCGAATGAACTAATTCTTCTTCCAGAAAAAATTCCAAACATAATTAAATGTGGTTCAATAAAATGTTTTGAAATATGGCCAAAGTCAATAATGATGCTAAGACTATGAGTCTAGGGTCACTTCCTAGTGTTTCAGCAAAACAGTATTTGCTGTCAGTAACATTATTAGCTAATAATTGCACAGGCCAATCACCCATGAGTCAAATGTCCGTCATTCACTGGCTTAAAATCAAGAAAAATCCTACTTTACATTTACAGTTATTACAGCAATATTGCAGACATAGCATCTGAAATGAGACTAACATTTCAGTGCTAGATCAACACCACCACCATCACTGTGGAATCAAATCTCATCTATGGGTATAAAACTAATGCTAGGCTTAAAAATTCCAAAAAGTGTTGGGATAACAAAGAATATCCCAAAGTTTCAGAACTATAAAATGCCATTAAATATTTTTAGCATTGCTATGTCTGAAAGAATACAATTGACAATTTACAGGGTAAGGTTTTAAACACACAAAAAAATTTTTTTTCCACAGCACCGAGAGAAAATGGCAAATATATTAGAAGAATACGTAAAATTTAAAACGTATTAATTACAGTCAAAAATGAATTTATACAACAAAGTTTCAGCTATATACTTTTAAACATACTTATAAAGCTATCTGACTTCTGATTTTATTCTACTCTGAAAATTGGTCAAGCATAATATTTAAATAATTTTACCTAAAATATCAGGCTACAGCTGCCTCTAATAATTAATGATGAGGTAATTCAATTTTGAAAATACCACATAAGTATTCATTTATTACCAACAGAGAAGAAAATTAATCTTGCACAAATGTTAAAAATAGAGAGCAATGTTCAAATTATGACACAGCCTCTTATTCACTTTTCAAGCTTCAGTTTCTTTTCAAGCTTCAGTTTGACCATCTGTAAAATGGGGATAATAGGGCGTTGTCATGCTTAAATGAGAAATTGACAAAGCAGCAGCACCTACAAAATAATAACTTTTAGGGGAGTGTGGGAAGGGAGAAAAGAGAAACTTAAAGATGAGTTTTACTTCTAGCTTAACAAACTCCAGAATGAAACAATATTTCTGGGTCCCCATCATTAAAAGTAGTGAAACAATTTATGCACACTCCAGCTATCTACTTTCTCTAATATCAAAGTCTGTGAGCTACTCAGAGATAAACCTCAGACATCCCAGCCTTTCAGCTAGTATCATCTAGGTATGTAGGGAAGCTGTATTTCCACATGTTGGCCTGCTGTCTTCAAGCAGAAAACCAAAAATTAGAGATTTGATCTAAAATAGTCAATTAAAGCCCCTATATTAAATTTCTTTCAAGTGAAAGCAGGACTGGTGAGCTAAGGAATGAAGCATGGAAGAAAATCAGTACTTGACTTCAGAAGCTAATGAAGAATGTATAATTAAAGCAGGCAATTCTGAATCAAGAGTTCTCCAGAAAGACTTTGTAAAAATGTGGACGGGCAAAGTGTCAAAGCATAACATACATGCACCAGCAATGGCTTCAAGAATCCAATTTGTAGGGCCGGCCCCATGGCGCACTCGGGAGAGTGCAGCGCTGGGAGCGCAGCATCGCCACGGGTTCGGATCCTATATAGGAATGGCCGGTGCGCTCACTGGCTGGGCGCGGTGTGGGCGACACCAAGCCAAGGGGTTGCGATCCCCTTAACGGTTATGAAAAAGACAAAAAAAAGAATCCAATTTGTAGAGTGAGTCTTTAAATCACTACACTCTGGGCAAAACTGAACATATGTTTTACTAAAGCAATATACAGTAAAATGTCTGTTTTCCTTAATACAAAGGTAAAACTGAATTTAGGGAACAACCCCCCTGGCAATAAAAATAGCTTTTCCTCTGCCTTCCCTATTGTGCCTGGGAGTACTGATGCTGCCACTGTGTAGCCTCCTGTGCTCAAAAAGTTTTCACTGACTCACATTCAATTACAACTCAAGCAAAAAGCTCCATGGAAACATTACTAGACTTCTCAGTTTCTTCACTAATCCATGGCATTTTTTTATTCATGCGCTTTTCCAGAAGTTCTGAATCAGTCACTATGAGTTAAAGAAATCAGGCACTGGGCAAATAAGTAAAAATTTTATGATTCACTGATTATTTCTTCTTGTTTTAGAACCTACCTGTTAACCTAAGCTGATGAATATATATTTTTAAATGCTTAAATTTCTTTTATTAAGCAAAGCGCCCCAGAGATAGACAATGTGACACAGTTCTTATCATTTTCTTTAAACTATGCTCTATTTCATTTATTCTAACTATAGCTTCTAAAGTATGTTAGAAATCTCTACAGTTTGAAGGGACCTAATACAATCTGATTGTTCACATCCAAAATGAAGAATTGTGGAATAGTACTACACCAAAACAGTTATGGCATTACATATATTTTTACTTACATTTTGATATAATTTTACTAATACTTGGTAAGATAAGTGTTTTAAATATATCTTCAACATGTCAAAGGGTCTTAAATTATTTACAAACACAGTATTTGCTCAATAAGTATGGAAAAGCTAAAATAAGCCTTAAGGAATTTAATCTGACTCCCTTGTTTCACAGATGAGAAAACATGGGTCACTGACCTGCCCATCACCCCACCACTGGATAGTGACAGAAATGAGACTAGAATCTAATTTTTCTTTCTGCAAAACCAAATCTCATCTGGTTCTTTCTTTCCAGTTGATTTCTCACCTCATCTCTTCTTCAAAAAACAAAAAAAGGCAAAATAGAGTACCTAAATTTAATCTTTAAAATAAATAAAACCTAAAGAGTTGAAAAAATTTAATGAGATATCACACCAAAAGACTTTTAATCCAGGAAT